CAGCCTGTTGTTAAGATAAACATTTCTAGGTTCCCAAGAACACAGACGCGTATGTATATGGTAATATACTGGGTATGCAGAGCAACCTTTAAACAGTGAATTCTTATTTTCCTATCTTATTCTTGATGTTTACACACAAACTTCATATGCAGAAAAATGACTTGACAGAATAATTGTGCTGGTTTTTAAACTACATTGTAGCATTTTGAGAAGAGCTGTGAAATTCCTCTCTTGTGGTAGCCATTAAGTTCTACAGCAGCAGAAGGGAAGCAGTCCTGCATCGGTATGGTGTGTGTTGAGATGCACCCTCGTTAGTCAGCAGCTCATGTCTCAGTTGTCGGGAAGTCCATGCGACTGAGGCTTTGGTATAAGGCCCAGGATTGCTGGTGGTTTAGGAATTTATAGTCTTGTTATAAGTGCTCCTCAGCACTTGTACCTAAAGTAACTTGTAAGGCCTGGGTATCCGCAAGTGTTGGAGGTCTGGCTTTCTCTGTTAAAAAGGGCTGTGATCTGCATAACCCCCCCAGCCCAAAGCTTTAGAGAGGGGCTATAATTACAGAGCTTGTGACAGAGCTGGGTTCAGTTCACTCGTGTCCTCACAAACATAATAGTATATGGTTGAAAGCATTGCTTCCGTATATAGCTACTTAAAGATGACAAACAAAATTATGGATGTGAGGCCCAGGAGTATTAACAGCCAGTTAGGAAATTGTGGGACAGGTTCTGGGGAGCTCTGTACACGCTTAGGGTTGTAAGACAACCTTGAAGAGTGAGGGAGGTTCTCACTGGATCGTGCCAGTTGCTGGAGCACGTGGAGAGGCTTGCTGCCAGGGAGCGAGGGCCAATGATGCTGGTGAGCCAAAGCAGATCTTATTAGCATCTTCTTCAGAGCAGGAATTGGTGGTCTGACTGTCCTTGGAGGTAAGCTTCCTAATAGTCATCTTTAAAATTGCTTCTAGCAACAATAGGAAACTTTAAGTTCTTACTTTCTGCAAAAAAATTGGATGTTCTTACTCAATGGATTGGGTTTTGGTTTGTTTGTTTTGATTTTTTTGTTTGTTTGCTTTTGTTGTTTTTCTGTTTTGTTTTGTTTTCTTTATCATCTTTTTATATGACTATTTAACTTAGACCAGAGGAATAAACTCAGTCTGGAAGTTAATGAATTAGGAACCAGCAGGCATGGTATGTGGGTTTTCTTGGGTTTTGTGTATGTGTGGGGTTGTTTGGGTTTTTTTTTTTGTTTTTTGTTTTTTTTTTTTAGGATAGTTTGCAAGGAATTTTGTTCCTTTTTTTATATCAGTTGGGTGCTCTCACCTCTGCTCTCACTGTCTCTGTGCAATAAAAAAGAAAATCAAAGCAGCAGTCTTAGTTCTGTTATGTGATATTTTGTGTAAATGTTTTTGGAAGGACAGCAGTTAATATTTGAAATAATGACACTTCTCTGATCCTGTACAACAGCACTTTTAAAAAAAAAATAAATGATACCAATTCCATGTAGACTCTTAAAAGTCATTGTGGAGACTGAGGAAAAAAAATCTTCCTATAACAGGAGAAAAGCAATAGTAATGTAAAATAACATTAAAATTTCCCCCTCCGGTTTTAAATAATGATAAATATCTTGAGTCAGTCTGTTATTTGGTTAGAGTTGCTTAACTGAAGCTCTTGGCCCTAATTTATTGGCAGTTAAGTTGATTGTATCTTGGTTTAAACAGTACTAGTGGTAGGGGGAACCACCACTCTAGCACAGTCTTTCAGCTGCTTTCACTGTTTTCCCTTGATCTTTCATGTTGTCCTAAGGAAGAAGGTATGGCTTGGCTGGCTGATCAGGGTTTTGGCTTGGAATGATAATGTATTTTAATTTTAATATCGTTACCTACTGCATGCTGTCTTAGGGCCAGGCAGTGTTGAGTAAGGTTTGGTTTGGTTTTGTTTTCCACTTTACTAGTAGCTAGTTCATGTGTGTCTGGTGCATTTGTGCCTCTCTCCTCTGCTCTGCTTTTGGTTAAGTGCTCTCACTGGTCCTTCCTGTGGATAGAAGTGAGCTCAGGGCTCAGGAGCAGACAGAGTGATGTTACTTCTGCTGCTGCGTTTCAGAGAAGTTGTGATCATCCCACAGCTCTTGCCAACTAATGGAAGAGCATTACTGAATACTTACTTCTCTCTTCAAAGTCTTTGAGGCATATGGAGAAGTGAAGAAGTAGGGCATTTCATGCTCTTGTGGTGTATAAACAAAAAACCACTTCAGGTTTGTTATCACTGTTCCCACCCATACTGTTTGAAGACCTCATTTGCTGCTGGTGTAATAGTTTCTCCCATACCTGAACTGTTTGGTAAATCTTTGATACCCGCCTTGTATGACGAGATATACTAGTAGGCATCATATGTGTTAATGTACTGAAATTGATGTTTGTCTAGTCTAGTTTGTGTATTGTCTGTGTGTGAGGCAGGAGTTCATACATGCTAAATACAACAGCAACCGTAATCCCAAATGATTTGGTCATTGGTTTGTGTGTTTTTTTGTTTTGTTTTGTTTTTTTGTTTGTTTGTCTTTTTGTTGTTGTTGTTTGTTTTTTTTAAGTCATTAGCTCCTTTCCTTCTCTTCAGCAAGTATTGGACCATGCCCCTTGGACCCATCTTGTATTTGATCTACTTCAGTGAGCACCTTGCGTGTGCATGGGTGTGAATAGAAAGTACGTGTTTGAGGTGTCTATAGTTTGCATTGCCTTATAGCTGTACCTCTGAGCTTTGTTACTTTACCTGATCAATTCCCTCTTTGACAGCACATGCAGTTCTCGTACACTCTGTACTAGTGGTGGTGGTGGAACAGCCTTCCCTTTCCAAGACAGGTACACAGCAGGTCTAGCTAAGATCTCCCAACCAGTAGCACGATGCATTGTAGGAAGGGGAATGCACTAATTCTTAACTGTTTTCAGTGTCATTGGTTCATGAAGGGTGGGGAGGGCAAGTTGGTGGCCTACATTAAATAAAAGGAGATGGAGCTGTAAAAAGCTCCTGGTGTAATGCGAGCCTTACACAAGGAAGAACTATTTATGGAACCCTGTGATGTTGGCCTCAGGGAACTTCAGGGCAGAAAGGGGCAGTGTTACATGCAGCAGGGTGAGAGCACACTTGTGCCCTCTCGGCTGGGAAGGTCAAACCCAGGCCTTGTCTTACAGTACGCTTCCACTGTCCCTTGGCCTGAGGGAAGAAGAGACTGAGGGACTCCTTTTGAAGGCCAAATCCTAGTGGTGAGAAGTTTTGGTTTGTGGAGAACAGTGGGGTGTTTATTTTTTTTCTTCCCTTCATGAGACTTTTTATTTGTCGTGTTTTGACTTGCATTATTTTTTGAGAAAACATGACTGTCTTGATTGATGACTCAATCTTTGATTTGCTTCAGAGTCTACATAGGGCATTTTGCATCTGAAGAAAGTTTTTTCATGTAAACAAGAAGCTTGAGTGTTCTTTTAAAATAATTTAGTAAAACTTAGCAGACTTAGTAAACCAGAGGTGTTTAGTGGATTTACAAAGTGATGTATAAAACAGGGAAGAACACTTCTGGTGGGACTGGAACACTTCTGGTCCCACTGTCTGGTGGGACATAAAAAGGAGGAATTTGCACAGCCTAAAACCTTCTGAAGTGTTTAACCATCCGTTAGTAGTTAGTAAATGAGAATTAGTAAATTAGTAAATGAGATTACATGACCAGAGCTCTGTAGCTCCAGGCAGATGCTAAGAGTCAAAAGCTTTCTCCATCTCTTGATACCCAGAGGTTCTGTCTAAATTAGCAAATACTTTGGCCAGTAGGGATGGATGAGTAGATCAAAGTTGTTGACACTGAAGCTTCTTATCTTCATTACTGATTTAGGTGGGTTACTTTTAGATGAGAATTAGCTTGGCACCTTGGGCTGAATGTCTTCACTTCCCTGTGCAGTTTGAAGCTTCCTGAAGGGGGGGGTGGGAAATAGGTACATGCCAGATGATCTTGCAGTCATGTAGCCCATGGGGTTATTTGAAGTTTCATGGCCCTCTTTGGCAGCCCATTGCATCTGAAGTACATCGTGGAACAGGGTTTTCAGGTTCTCTTACTCCAAAAGGGAATTGATTTTTCATGTGCAACAAAGTTATTCTGAAAAACCAGCTGGCTCACAGTAGATGGTTTTGCTTCAAAGCTGTGCTACTGCTCTAAACCAAATAGCGTAGTTAAAGTGTGAGAGAATGCATAGCAAAAGGATGACCTAGAATAAAGGGGAGACTTTTAGTCGGAAGCACTAGAAAGATACTTTTTCCCTCTTTTAAGGAAGTATTTCTTTAAATTTGCAGATGTTTGCACTGGTCAAGCTGCCTTTTTAGATTGATTAATTAATAAAAGTATTATGGGAAGCCCAAAATCTCAGCTAGATAAGTAAAAATTGTTCAAAGCTTAATCACAATAGGGTGCAGTGTGTGGCTCTTGGGTAACATGTTATTTGCACAAGTTCCAGATGTTTTGTGGCTACAGTAAATTGCTGTTGCTGCAATCCGAGATGATGATGTGAATAACAATACAAGGTTGCAAATAATGTATTTGTTGACATCGCTGAACTCTGGGTGGGCACATGGCTAAATACCTCCATATCTTTTACTGCTTTTGGGGGTGGAAGAAGGATTACTTTAACTCATTTGTGTCTTTAGATTTAGAGTTAAATTGTCATTAATGCAGAAAAACTTTGTCTCAAATGGCTGTGAAACAGCAACTGGTTTATTTTATTTGCATCTGTATGAAATTTGTGGTGTATGGAACTCATCTCCCTCCCCCACCAAAACACACTGCAAACAGAAGGTGAACTTTTGTTTTTCTTTAATGGGCAGAACCCAGAAATGGCTGACTGATGTGAAGATTTCTTTCCTTACCTCAGACGCCTCAAATCTTGGCTGTTGTCTGCTGTAAATGCATCTGTTAGCTTTGATCTGCTTTGCCTAGGTACTTACAGCTGGATAACTTTTTTTTTTTAAAAGTGGAATGCAGTGCTGGCAAACTACTACTCAGTTTTTGACTTTGCTTCTGTAATCTGGGCTGCCACAGGTACACGGCAACCAGTACCTGGTGTACTTCTTGATCAGGTCTTAGTTAGGCTGCAGTCATAGTCCAAACTATTGTGTAGATGTACAAGTAGATGACAATTGTATCTCTTCACACAGTAATCATGCAAACACTCTATTATAAGTATTTATTGGGTTAGACCAAAATCTGGGTATTGTACAGAGGGAGTGTGTAGGAGCAAGTTTTTGGGCTTATGTCAGTACTCTTATAAAGTGCAAGGTTTGAATGAGTGCCTTTAGCATAGAGCTTACAAATAAGGCAATTTTTTTCAGAGTAAAATGACCTGGTTAAAAACATTTCAGTGATAAATTTAGTGGAGTTGTGCTCTTTCTGCAGTTTTACACTGTAGAATTAAGTTCAAATGTTCCAAAATAAGTATTTCTTCAGACGCAGGTCTGTTTATTGGCCCCAAACTCATTGTATTTAGACTGGTATAAATAGTGCAATACAGCCACTGAGGCAAAAGCTGAATTCTATCATGTTAAGATGAAAAATTATTTAAATTCTGTATGCAGGCTGCTGTTGACATATATAGTAGAAAGAATGAAAAATGTTGAATTTTCATTAAGAGAAGTCATAATCTGACATAAATTGTGTACTTGTTGGAATGTCAGAAGGAGTAAATATGTAACACTGCAATAACAATTTGTATCATCTTGTTATGAGTACTGTATATGCAGGTGAGACTGACTAAAGAATAATATTAATGTTTGTATTTCGTGGGTATAGTAGCTACAATGCCTGTTTCTCTTCATGGCTGTTTTGACAATCTAGTTAATACTGCTCGGATGGAGTTTGCTTTTCTGCAACAGCAAGATTTAGATGAAAGTTTCAAGGAAAAGTGTGCACCCCTGGATTAGGTAGTAATATTGCAGGAGATGCCATGGGAACAGTGCCTCTATAGGTTTGATATGAGTCTGAACTACACTTTTCCACTGTGTGTGTGGAAATCAAGGATATTAAATAATTCTGAAAAGAAGCAGGCATACACATTTATGCCTCCTTTCTTCCCTGCATGATACAAGGTTTTAAGATCAAGGCAAATTCTTTTCCTTAATCCAGAATTTTACTTTCTCATATAGATGTTACATGTGGTTCTCCAGCTGACCAGGCAGACTGACTTGTGGGGATGGTTTTTGTTGCTTGTTCGTTTTTTCAAGCTCTATTTGTTTATCGTTTCCATAAGTGAAACAGGTTGTGTGAAAGAAGAGAGCTAATGACTTTTTGTTTCCAAATGTGTCTCTCTATCTACTTGTTCTTAACAGTGACAGGGCAGAAGCTGTTGGAGTGCAGTTTACCGGAGGGTGAGAACTGGTTCGGTGGTACCTCAGTGGGTAAATGTTAATCTGGGTGAAAGTGGAGAGGTGAAACTCATTCAGCACAAACTTCAAATTCAACTTGCAATGTTACGTTCTGGCCAAAAGTATTTTTGGTGAAGACTGTGTGGGAGATAGTAGTGAATGAGTAAAGGTGATCAGGTATGTCAGATGTTGAATGTCAGTGTGTTATGAGATCTCAGATTCCCAAAACTCACTTGAAAACTTTTACTCACAGATCACACTTGGGTTATCAGTCTAATTTCATTTGGTAGTGTTAAGCTGCTGGCTCCCTGCACTTGCTAAGGCAGGGCGTGGGTAGGAGGGGAGAGGAAGGCAAGAAAAGCTGAGCAGTGCTGTTAGTGCGCTCAGTTACTTACTCAAAGACATGTCCTTGTTCATAACAACAGATTTATCTAATGGTTTCTCAAAACAAACGTGATTCGCAGATGTGTGGCAGCAACTAGGACAAAATGGAGCCCTTTTAATCAGTCGGTCTGTGCATTTCCAGTATATTTTCTTATATATAGCGTAAGCTGTTTCTATCCTTAATGTAGAGAAGATGAGGATTTGCATTTTGATTCTAACTTCCTTTGAACAACTAATTTCTAGTATCAGTACTCTCCCTCTTGTTATTCCTGAAAAGCCGCTTGAAATGGGATCATTTTAAAAATGTGACCCTCATTGTTCTTTTCAGTATGTACTGTGGTAGGACAGGGATAATGGATGCTTTGCAGGGGAACCGTAAGATTTTCTGTTAAAGCACTTGAGTGAAACTTTATCTTCCTGCAGCTACCACAGTAGAATATCATTTGTATGAGAGTATGGTATCATAAATTTATTATTTGATTTAATCTGTTCCTGTAGCTATTAGGATCATTACAAAAAAACATTTTTTGAGCCTTTGAGTGTGAGAACTACATCCAGGTTAAGTGATACCATGTGGAAATATGAATGTATGTAATTGAGGAAAACTTAATGGAATGTCTTTTTGTGTATGAGGATGGTTTTCTCCCAGAGTTAATACTGCCCTTCCGTTCTTCCATTTTCCAGTTGTGGTGCTCCGATTTCAGTGTAAGCACATCCTTGTTGAGATCCTCTGAGAGGGGGAGAGAATTTTGCTTTTGTGTTCTTATGCCTGTGGCAAAGGGGAAAAATAGGTTGAGAAAAGATGTTGGTACAGTGTTACAACTTTGCAAGGTTTCTCTGAAGCTTATTAGAGGAAGGTCTAGAATGTGTAATCTATGTCTTGACAGTTCAGAGACAGGTGCTTGAGTCTTGTGATGAGTTTCTAGAAATACTGTCATGCTTTGGTAAAGCAGTAATGGTATTGATTAGAAATGCCAGAAAATAAGATGCCAAAATCCTCAGTGTAACTTTAATAGCAAAATAAGATTATCTGGACATGTACCTAGAGATGAAAGAGAATCTTTTTCATAGATTCCTCTGGAAAACTGTTGTATTTCTGGTTCTCAATGAAGCACTGAACATAACATGTTCTGTTGCTGCACATGCATATTGAATTGCATCCACACCTTCTGCTTGCAGACCGGTGCATTTGTGTCTTCTTGCTGGCTGTCTTTCTGCTTTTCCTGTGCAGTCCAGGTATTCTTGTGCGGCCTGTTCCTCAGCTGCTGCTTATGCCTTGTAACTATTGCATATCTAGAGGCTTTTTTTCCCTGTCCTTCAAGTGCCTTCCCAAGTCTGATTTTCACCAATCCCACGATTGTATTTTCCCTTCTTAGCAGTAACCAGCATTTGCATCTTTCCTTACATTGCTGACAACCAAAAGCAGTACCATACCACTGATTATTGCAGCGCCTTTCGCCTCTTATCCAAAAGGTTCGATGAAGTTTTCTGGATCAAGGTGCTCTTCTCCATTCTTTCTCTGGTCAGTTTAATCTTGCTGGGGGATCTGTCTTAGAGGGACTTTGTTGCCTGTTTGAGGCTGAAGCACTGGGGAGCAGCAGGAAGTGGACACCCCTTTAATCCAGTGCACCAGTTCTGTTTCCTGTGCATTCTGTAAAGGGAGCAGAGACGCCAGCTGGCAGCTTGGCAGTGAAGGGCTGGGCTGTGCAGGGTGGCCCAGTGGGGAGGCAAGTCTAGCAGGGTTGTAGTTTAAGCTCCTAGTAATTTCTGTATTGTTTGCTATCAGTCAACTTCAAATGTTGATCTTACTAAAGTACCAGTGACATGTGGTGTGCCTGCATGGTGTGGCTCGTGCAGCACACTAGGTTACGTAGAGCTTTTGTTTGGCTGATGTGAGAGCAAGTTAGTTGGTAAATGAGCCAAAGTGGGTGAACTGCGCTTACAAGTTGGGTTAGGCAAAAATATGGATGTTTAATCAGCTATTGGTAAATAAAACTGTACAAGGAATAGCACTTCCCTGCTTGACATGACTGTGCGTGGTGCAAAGACAGGCAGGTGCTCTGTGAAGAGTGTTTGGGTTTTAGTATTTGCTGAATTTGTCAGGTTAAACTGCTGTTCAAGGAAAAGAAAATTATCTATTCTGATTTGTGCTGTTTGGAATGGCCTGAATTGAACGCTTGTTCCTTTTGTGTTTTTCAGACTTCTTGAAGCCAAGTCTAGCAAAGAAAGAGAGTCCTGTTTCTGCCAGCCAGACCCAGTCTCCAGTGCTGGTCCCCCTGATGGCAGTTTGTACAGCCCTGTGAAACCTGCCAAGCTGGACGCCACAGCTTTGCACGACTGCACTTTGGCCGCCACTGTGCCTCCTTCGGAGCTGTCGAATCATGCAGTCCTAGCCTGTGACACAGGCATTCATGAAGAGCACTATGTAAGTGAAGCAGTGGAAGATGATGTGCCAGACTGCAGAGAGTACAGAGATGCCTGCACTATCACCGGTAAGCAGCCAATTCTTTTATCTTGGGAAGGATGTGGAGCTATATAGTTACGCTTCTGTTCTTAAGCTGTTGGTGAGGTATGTGGCTCATGGACAGTGCTATGTTCTGCACATTTTTCTTGTTTAAGAGGAGGTTTTGCAAGCACCTGAGTTTTTTCAGTGAAAGCACTTTGTGAGGTTTAAGGCTCTTGCAAACAGTCTAGACCACTGACAGCTATGAAACTAGGCCACAATACTTATGTGCCTGGGAAGGTGAACCATCTGAAGCTTGTTTGGAAAGACCAACCAACTGAAATTCAGGGATGAGGGGAAGAAAATACTTCAGCTTAAAAATATGGAGTGGTTGTCCTAGTGTTCAACATAATTTAGATTTTTATCTTGATACAAGTCTTGCTTTGTCGGAGAAGGGGTGGGGAGAAATAGTATCTAACATCATATTTTGACTGTACATCTTTTTGCTTTTCAAAACCATTCAATTTTTTTCACATTAATTCTGGAACTATAAAAGTTAATGTATAATGAACAGCTGCTTCTGCATGCTTGTATGAACAGTTAAATGCCTTTTTATCATAAATTCATATGAATAAATGGAATATGTGTTTAAGTATGGTATTTTAAATAGAATTAGGTTCTTACTGATGTGGTCTGCTGACCCAATTTTTTTGTGTTTGAATAATCACTGTAACTCAGTTTAGTCATGGATATGGCCACGAAATGACAGGCAGTTTCCATTCCAAATGCATGGTTTGTTGGCTGAGCTGTGAGGCTTCTTTTAGCTTAAAGTGACCTTGTCAGTTCCAAGGTCTTTTGGGAATGTTTGACTAGTCAGCTGAGTTTTTGGGAGGGAGAAATGAGAGGGCTGAGAAAA